TGAGCAAAAGAGAGCGAGAGAGAGAGAGAGAGAGAGAGAGATAAAGAGAGAGCGAGAGAGAGAGAGAGAGAGAGAGTGAGAAAAAGAGAGCGAGAGAGAGTGAGAGAAAGATATATATAGAGCCGCATATTTTCTATCACCAGCAGTTTTCGTGTAGGCCTCGTGTCACTTAGTATTATGTATATATAATATAATATATATATTTGTTCGTTGCATAAAATAGGTCGGATTGGTTCATGATCATCACCACCCATTCTTGAACCCCCCCATGCATCAACCATTAAATGCATGTCATATCCAACAAATCAGAATCACCATTAACTATAAATTACTATATTATGCTGTATACTACTGTTTATCTATATATATATATATATATAAGTATAAAATTATATTATATATATTTATATAAGATGGCGTGTGGCAGAGTTAACGGCTACATTTATTACTATTATTATCATTATTATTATTGTTATTATTATTATTATTATTATTACTATTATAATCATTAATATTATCAATTATAATCATCATAACTAACCACGGATCGTAACATTGTTCAGAAGTCCAGGAGGAGGCTTGCCCGCGGAAGGAAGCCGCTCCCGTCGCCACGGCGGAGGACGAGAAGGAGGCTGAGGATAACGGCAACCGGCCGACGCGCCTCGCCAAGCAGGCGGCTCTGCGCGTCATCGAGGGGCGCGGCGACGAGCGGCAAGGGAGGAGCCAGGAGGAGGAAGAGGAGGAGGAGGAGGAGGAGGGTGACGCATCCACGGGGGAGGAACTGCCCGTTGCGAGGTAGGGGAAGCGCGCGATCGTGGCGCAGTCCCGTAGCTAGAGGGAGAGGGTCAAGATGACAGCTGCCTCCGAGAGCTCTAGAGAAATGTAGATACATTAGATGGTCAATGACAGGCAGTCACCCTCCCATAACACAACCCGCACGTGGCTTTGTCCCGGTAGCCCAGGCAAAATGGGTTAGCAACGCTCCTTATATATATATTTATATGGTATCAGGACAAATACCCCCCGGACAATTACCCCCGGACATTTACCCCCGGACATTTACCCCCATTGCCAATTCACCCCCCGCCGACATTTAACCCCGCGACATTTACCCGCTGGACAATCACCCCCCGACATTACCCCCGACATTTTATCCCGGCCAATTACCCTCCGGACATTTACCCCCAGACAATTACCCCCTCCCAGACATTTAATGGGACAATGGAGGAAGGGTAGTGGAGAAGGAGAATTAGGAGGCGGGATGACGGAGGAGTAGAGGAGGTTCAGGCCGTAGTGGTGAGCGAGGGAGAAGAGGATGGAGAATTTGAATGGAGGAGGCAGGAGAGTGAGGAGGTAGTAACGGCCCTCCTCTACCTCCCTCCCTCCCTCCACCTTCCTGGTCTCCTCCTCCGCACCTTCTTCCCCCATCCTCTTCCACACCTTCTTCCCTCCTCCTCGACTGCTTTCACTGTATCACTGTTACACAAAAATGCAAAATAATAAACACCAAGTGAATAATGTGTTCGCGGGGGGGGCTAAATGATCCGGGTGGGCGGTAACTTGCTCCGGGGGTGGTAATGTCCGAGGAGCGGTAATTGTCCAGGTCGTAAATGTCCGGGCCTCTTCGGCCTGGTAATTGTTTGGGTGCACAGTGTCAGGGCTGTAATTGTCGGGGTAATTGTCCGGGCGGTAATTCGTCCGAGGGGGACTCGGCGGTGATTTGTCGCGGGAGGCGTTATTTGTCCGTAGAACCATATATATATTAATATATGATACACACATACACACAATATATAATATATAATACCATATATTAGATATAGATATAGATATATACTACGTCCTGACATCACGTAGTAGTTAATGTAGTAGTTAGATGATAGTTTGTTCGAATCGCGGTGTACTTGCAGCAGTTTCTGCATGCGGACTAGAGCGGATGAGAATGCGAATCTTCGATCTTAATCCCTTTAACTCACCCGAGAAGCACGCACACTGTAATCGGTGGCTTGACGCCACCTGTGCGCAGAATCTCACCGATAGCATGCCCAAGCCGGCGAAACCGCGCTGCCACCACCGCCCCCTGCTGGGGCGTTAATGTGTCGAAGAGCTTCCAGAACCCATTGTCCTCGTTATCGTCGATTCAACCCCGTACCTCTTGAAACCCGCCCCCCCCCCCCCTGACCTCTTGACCACGACCACGTGACCTCTGTGGGCAAGGGCTCAGAGCAGGAGCGGTCGACCGACGAAGAGCTGGTCTGTGTGCGTGTGTGGGAGCCGCGAAGCATCGCTGCCTCCATCGCCGACGGCAACGACGAGGACGGAGGACGAGGACGACGACGACGGTTGCCGCTGGCGACGCGTGTATCCGGTCGTCCGTGAAGCTGGAGGAGTAGCGGGAGCTGCGGCGAGCATCTCTACATGAACGTCCGGCCTGCGTGTGGCGCCCTGCACGGCGGAGCGAGGCCGGGGAGAGAACAGGAGGAGGACGGAGGAGGAGGAGAAGGAGGAAAGCACACTCTAGCCGACAGTTCCCAACACTCATATCGAAGGTACGTGAACACTCCCGCTCTCGTGCCTCCCTCCATGCCCTCTCTCCTCTCGGCTCTCTTCCACCTCTCTCTATAGTGCCATCTCATCCTCCTCTACCATCTCTCCGCTCCCTACTTCCGCTCCTCCTCCCCTATCTCCACCTCTCTCCATGCATTCCCTCCATCTCTCTTTCACGACGCCCGTCCTACACTCCCCGGATC